GGGGCTGACAAGATCCGCGTGCCTCAACAGGCTGTGAGTGTGTGAGTGAGTGACCATAAACCGAACCTGGGAGCAGCATGTGTAACGCTTCCCTTGAAGAGTATCTGGAGACTTCAGCTGGCGCAGAATGCAGCCATGGAAGCAGTTATGTGTGTTTCTAGTAGAACAGACATTACACCTCTGCTTCGTGAGCTGCACTGGTTACCCATTTGTTTCTGTGTCAAATACAAGGTGCTGGTGGTGACCATTAAAGCCCTTCATGGTATGGGGCCGGGATCTCTGAGGGACTTCCTCTTCCCGATTTCATCTGCCTGTCCCACCAGACCCAGCAGAGAGGGCATGTTATGGGTTCCATCGCCTAGGGAAATACACTTGGCAGGCCTCAGGTGGTGGTCCTTTTCTGCTGTGGCACCTACACTGTGGAATCTTCTCCCCCCTGAGGTGAAACTGGCCTCGTCATTGTTGAACTTCCAGAGGTCCCTTAAGACTTTGTGATGCCAGCAGGCCTGGGCACTCCAGGGGATAGGGGAATTTGTGAGGTGGCTCCCTTATTTTTAAGTTCTTTTTATTTTCAGTTTTATTCATTTTTATACACTTTTAATGTATTTTACTGTTTTTAGCTTTGTTCTACATCGGCCAGAGTCACGTGTGGTGAAATGGGCGGCTATATAAATTAGTTTAATAACTAAAAAATAAATATTGTGACTACTAAATTATTCTGTATGGGTGTCTGGGCATGTTAGTTTTGAGTTTTGATTCTGGAAACACCTTTCTGAATTGGCGCTTTTGCAAAAATCAATAAATACATAAACCCTTCCTCTCTTGAAAATCTGCATTCTTTGTAGAGCAATTTGAACTTAATATCTTGATGGGCTTATTATTTATTCATCATTTTAATATAATTTCTGAAATATAGGCTCAAGGAAATCTACAAGATCAAAGCACAGAGTGATCCCCAAAGCTATGTAAATACAGGAGCAGTTTCTTGCTGAAATTATGTATACATCCCTTAATTTTGCAAGACATGGTTTAACTTCCTATAAAATAAAACTGCAGCTTCACTTGTTTCTTAGGATTTAAAAATTGTCCCTGGACTGTTGTTGCAATTTATTCAGTATTAGAAAACCACATCTAAATTGTAGGATGAAGGAACGCTAAAAGGACAAAGCAGTGTGTGGTTCTTTTATCCTGAGGGCTATGCAAATTCAGTGAGAGCTTCTTGCTCAAAGGAGCCATATCGTCCTCCTCTCCTGCTGTGCCCAGGAACACAAAGTCTGAGTGCTTGTCTGAAAGTTTTCCCATCAGTAAGACTCCTCCAATCTTTAGACTGAGCAAAAATGACATCCTGGATAAACCTCATATTGTTAGCAGTAGTCCTCACAGGTATTATATTTCCCCTCCAAAAGAAAGTTTTTTATCCCCTTTTTCTCTATGTTTACCTGCAGAAGGTCTTATTAAACAATGTTTCTTTCTAGGTGTCCAGTCAGAGGTCCAGTTGGTGGAGTCTGGAGGGGATGTGAGAAGACCCGGAGAGTCCCTCCGTCTCTCCTGCCAAGGCTCCGGATTCAGCTTCAGCGGCTATAGCATGGACTGGGTGAGGCAGTATCCAGGGAAAGGACTGGAATGGGTGGCATACATAAGCTCGGGTTCCAGCACCATTTACTACTCAGACAAGGTCA